GTAGGGGCGTAACATTTCCGTCACACGCTTGAGGTATTCGGCCAATCACAACGCACTGGATAGCTGGCCAATCACAGCACACCTCGCTTTTCAGAATGATGAGCTTTGTAAAAATCGACGCGTTTCAGAAAGGCGGGGCATAGAGGAGAAACAATAATGTACAGTATGTGGAAAATAATGTTTTTTGAACCTTAAACCGCATAAATTTCATTACACCAAATACACAAAATAATGTTCTTTTTAGCAACATCATATGACCCCTTTAAATATCTAAAGAACATTGTGGCTATGAAAATACTACAAATACTAATAAAATAATAATAATGGATAATATCTATTGAATACTTAGTTTACATAATATTTACTCAATGAAAGAAAAATAAATACTAAACAAAACTCAGCCTAAATTTAGCATCATTACTCCAGTCTTCAGTGTCACATGATCCTTCAGAAATCATTCTAATATGCTGATTTGCTGCTCAAGAAACATTTCTGATTATTAACATGTAAAAAACTATACTGTGCTGATTCATATTTTTATGGAAACCATGATACATTTTTCTGGGAATAGAAAATTCACAAAAACAGCGTTTATTTGAAAAATAAATCTTTTGCAATATTAATAATGTCTTTAATGTCACTTTTGCTCAATTTAATGCATCCTTGCTGAATGTAAGTATTAATGTTTGGGGTCATTAAGAATTAAAAAATTCTTAATGACCCCAAACTTTTGAACAGCAGTGCATGTCGTTTAAAAACATAATGACAGAATATTTCATTTACACAATCTCAAAACTTAAAATAAATAAATAAATTAATTAATTAATTATAAAAACTAAAACAAAAAATACTGGTCACTGAATCTTAAATGCAACAGATGACCAATAAAATGATCCTTCACATTACAGTCAAATAAAGCATTCGCATTTAATGAAAGTGCTGCTAACTGAAGCTCTCCGTCATTCTGATCTTCCTACACACACTGTATTGGATCCGCATTGGGTCGGGCTGATGATATTGATGAGGAACAAACTGTTCTGGAGACGCTGGAGTGTGTGAGTGTGTTAGACATCAAGAGGAGAGCGAGGGGTGACGACAGGGAGGGAACAATGCAGTTTATCTTTCATCTTCCTGGAAACGCTTTCCTCCATTTTCACCACTCCCCCATAAATGAGAGCTCACACACACACACACACACACACAACCACCCAGAAACACTCTGGTGTACTATATGGGGTTCGGGTGAAAGTGTGTTTGATTCAGAGACAGCGGGCTGGAAGTCATCACTGTGAAAGCATTACCGCTGTAATACTGACGGATTTTTATAATCATGAGTGTTTCTACTCCCAAGACAAGAAAAATCTGCTTCACCATCATAAGAATAAATTACATTTAAAATATATTACAGCAGAAAACACTAAAATATTTCATAATATTACTGTTTTTACAGTTGATCAAATAAATGGTGAGCAGAAGAGACTAAAAACAAATAAAATGTTACTGACTCCTAACTTTTAAAATGTGTGCTATAACTTTTATATGCGTGCTATTCTAAAAAGCCATCATTTTGTATAGTGATCATTTTGAATGATTTATATATATATAATCATTCAATATAGTGATTATTTGAACATTTTACACAGTTTGTTAGGTTTTGTTTCCATTTTGTTCTAATCTCATTCACACAAAATATGTACAAAATTCAGCTTAGCATCACAGGAATAAATAACATTTTATAATATATTCATATATATATATATATATATATTTATATACACATTACTTATTTAACTATTTTTTAAACAAATAAATGCGAGATTGAGAAAATTGGAGAACAGAAGAGACTTGATTAAAAATGTGTACACGTTCACTTAAATTCTACAAATTTTGTGTTATTCAGAAAAAGTCATCATGCTGTGAAAAGTGTGAATATTTGACCACAGAGTTCTTAATTTTTATGATCATGCATGTTTCTACTCCCAAGAGAGGAAAAATGTGCTTTGCATCACAGGAATAAATTACATTTTAAAATAAATTAATACAGAAAAC